ATAATAATAATAATAATAATAATAATAATAATAATTAATAGTATTGTTGATAATAATAATAACAGTAATAGTAATTATAATAATAATAAGAGTAATAATAATAATAGTAATAATACTAACATTTATAATAATGGTAATAATAATAATGGTCACAACAATAATAATACCAACAGTGATAATAATATTATTATTATTAATTTTTTTTCTTTTTTTTTGAGAAGTTCTGTTCAATTCGCACAGCAGCAGAAACTTTTACTCATATACCGGTTATTAAACTAGTGTATCTGAAACATGTTCCAATACATTATACAAATATGTTTAGTAAGGTTTCGGTTGAAACGTGAAGCTTGTCCCTTTGCGTGGGAGTTACAGTGCTCTGTCAGTGGAAGATTTCCTGTTATCTACTTCTACCAATTGCAGCATAACTCGTGATACCATAAAAGTATTACTTTGTAATTTTAATATTTTATACTGGAACCGTGCTTTCTGAAAGTACTCTTTTTTCAAAAAAGATTTAAGATTCAAGCGGGAACTTTCTTAAGAAGAGAGTTGTTTGGTGCTTATTTTTCTTCTAGTCTAGTATGCGACTTATCAGTGTATGTATTTCATGACTTGGAGCCTATATATATATATATTGCGGGGATTGATGAGAAGCATAAATTTGTTGCTGTAGTCTTAGTCGTCTTTATTGTTTTAGTGATTCTGACAGGGAGGAACTATTAGTTGCATCCATTAAAAGTTTAATACTTTTTTCTAGTCGTGGAAAACAAAACCTCTGATAAGACAATGTCTACGCATTTTCATAAAATAGGTTAATTTTTTAACGATTTTGAACACTTACAAAAGTTTTTAAAATCAGTTCTATTCAGGTCGGTTTGCTCCACAAGCCGTTCACGATATTCTGCATAGTTAATTCAACAGGGATCTTATTTTTTCTTTTGTCGTTTTTTATTTACCAATTCCCTTCCCCTTTTACTAGTGACTGTCCTCTGCCTAAAACTTTTGGGGAAATGGATGTGCATTGACTGGCTCAGAACTATTATTAGTGTAGTTACTGAACGTTCAGTTCGTCGACTCATCTTTAGGGCTTTCCGTAGCAGATGTTAGCAAGCATTGCTGTTTTGACTGGCTTTCACACAGTTGTTGGCAATGCATTCTTTGTAGTTTATAGTTCGTTTTTAAGGTTTTAAATTCTGATGTATTTCAAGTTACCGTTACTTATGTAGTGTGTTAGTATTTAGGCGTTGAAGATTTTGAAGAAGTTAAAATTACATAAAATTTAAATACCTGCTCAGTTGTGAGTATCTGGATTTTGTTGTTGTTCTGTTTTTTTTTTTTAATTGTTTTGTAGGACTTTTAAGTTTCTGCACTTGCTTTTTTTATGTAATACATTGAGGTGGAATTTATCCTTGTACGTTTGCGATTATTTCCTTGCACTTGGTCTCTTGCCGTTCTCACTGCAGACTTTTTCGAATATTTTGATAGAGATTCTTTTGGTAATAACAGTTCTCAGCTTTTCTGTTTATTTGTACAGCTTCGTGTATTTTTAATTTAGGACACAATATGTGTCAGAATTTGAATGAATTAACAGCCTGCTGCATTGCTGAACCTGACGGAGGTGGTAGATACGTTACCTGCGCTAGACCTGCATCGGGTATACCGTTAGACGATAAATTACGTGAGATGAGTGTGTTAAAGAGGTTTCCGTTCGTTTACAATAGCTTGGTTGGTTTGTTTTTCCAATTGCTTTTTAACCTTTTCTCGTTTTCACTGTTTGTCACTACATTTTCTTCAAAATTACATATGGGCCAATTGTTATTTTTATAGCGTCGGCATTATTATGTCTGTCTCTACCATCGGCGGATAGTTCATTTTGAACCCAGAATGAGGAGGAACGAAGTCTGGGGGAAACGAAATTTTTCTAAGTACGAACGTGATTTGACTCCTACTGACGAGGAGAAACAGGAGATGCAAGATGATCCGTTATTAAAGGTTTAAGTTTTATTTTTTCCTCTCATATAGAATAGGAGCTAATTGTATATTACTGCACTTCAGTTCAAAATTTGATTTGAAAACCAGATTTGCAATGCCGTCGTCTCCTTGTGCGCAGTTACGTAATTTTTAAGTGAGAGAACCACAGTTAGTATGAGAGGATTAAAAAAAGCAACTT